TAGTGAAAGATATAGATGGCTTGTACCAAGATAGAAGAATTCAAACTAAATTAAGTTAATAAAAAGGTATACTCACAATAGAAGATAGAATTTAGATATTTGTTTTTGAAATTAAGTAATATGATACTGGATAGCTCGACTGTTCATCAGTGGAAGATAACGTGATAGTCAGTGAAAGATATGGATGGCTTGTACGAAGATAGAAGAATTCACTTTATTAAGTGATAAAAAAGGCATACTGATAGAAGTAGAATTTAGATATTTGTTTTTTTCGTGTAAGGGACTGTCCATCAGTTATCACGGCGGCTTTCCCGCATTCCGAGGCCTTTAAATCGTCGGCACGCGGCTTGCGCCGCACCATTCCGATTCGGCGATTTGATTCCCTATCCCTGCGCTGCCCACCTCCCCTTTCCCGCCTCCCTCGTCCCTCCCATTCACTTCCCCCCTTTCCTAAATACCCCCTCCCCCTCCCCCTCCTCAGAAACGCAATTCCCGAAATCACCCCCGCCTCCCGTTCCCAAATCCCAATCCCCGCGCCGCCCCCTCCCCACCTCGCCATGGGCAGCGCCGCCGCCTCGCCGCCACCGTCGGGGAAGCTGACGCAGGACGAGCTGAAGCGCGTGGCGGCGCACCGCGCGGTGGAGTTCGTGGAGCCCGGCATGACGCTGGGCCTGGGCACGGGGTCCACGGCGGCGCACGCGCTGGACCGCCTGGGCGACCTGCTCCGCGCGGGCGCGCTCCCGGGCGTCGCCGGCGTGCCCACCTCCCTCAAGACGGAGGCCCACGCGTCCGCCGTCGGGATCCCGCTGCTCCCGCTCGACGCCGCCTCGGGCGCCAGGATCGCGCTCTCCATCGACGGCGCCGACGAGGTCGACCCGGACCTCAACCTTGTCAAGGGACGCGGCGGGTCCCTGCTCCGCGAGAAGATGATCGAGGGCGCCGGGGAACGATTCGTCGTCATCGTCGACGAGTCCAAGCTCGTGCCCCGCCTCGGATGCACGGGCGCCATCCCCGTCGAGGTCATCCCCTTCGGCGCGCCCCACACGCTGGGCCTCATCCGCAACCTGTTCGACGGTTTGCCCGGATTCCACGCCAGGCTCAGGACCGTCCCCAAAACCAAGGGGGACGACGGCTCGGAGCAGCCCTTCGTCACCGACAACGGCAACTACATCGTCGAGATGTTCTTCGAGGACGGCATCCGCGGCGACCTGCGCAACATCAGCGACCGCCTGCTCCGGATCACCGGCGTCGTCGAGCACGGCATGTTCCTGGGCATGGCCACCACCGTCATCGTCGCCAACCTGGACGGCACCGTCGCAGTCATGGGCAGGAAGAAGTAGTAGTAGTTTAAAGTAGCCTGTTCTTTGAAGCAGCAATCGCCTGCTCTGGATCAACGGCGTCGTCGAGCATGGCATGTTCCTCGACGTGGCCAATCGTCGACAACAACGACGACAAGCAATAATTTTGCGAGTAGCCTGTGTCTCTGCAACATCCAGCTACTCTTATCTAAGTTGGAGTTGTATCGTGTCGTCCTCCTATACTTGAGTGTCTGCTGATTACTATGGAGTATGTTAATCATCATCCTGATGTTATCATCGCACCTTGCTACCAGTGATTCTCATGATCTTTATTAAACCAGCTAATTTTGCAATCATATTGGAATCGTGGATGTGTTTTGTGCTAGTGAGTCACTGGATTGCAATTGTTGCTGATTGGAACAGTCTTAATTGAGATTCTAGATCTTGATGGTCTTGCACACACCCTACCCAAATGAGTATGTTTCGCCATAAGCTGTTCTGTTTCTGTAGGTTCAGTTTCTTTCACACTACTGTCCAATTGGTATGTACTGAAATCAGTTACTTCTCAGTTCTCTGTCCATACTGATAAATTTGTGCCATTTCTCTGTGCTGTTGACGCATTTCAGGAACAGCTGAGGGAGAAGGTCTCCTCTGCTATACCCACGTTAGGTCAGCCCCATGAGCTCTGCCATCTCCTCCATACCTGATGTCCTGATTCTTTGTTTGCCTCCCCTGTTCTTCATCTTGACTCTTGCTGTGCTTGTGTTCCCCGTTACTGATATAACAGCTTTAGAAGTGATATAACTTCTTTTTTTGGCAAGATAAGACTGGGTTAGTGGCATTGAAGTTCATGGATGTTTTGTATGTTCTCATCCAAAAGAAGTTTTAGAAGTGGAAACTGATCGCTATATGTTTAAACCAATGGTCCAATGTCATGAAAGAAGTCTCCATCTTTACTTGAGTTCTATAATGTAAAAATGTGGGTTTCTGAACAGTGGCTTTTCCGAAGATAGTGGAAGAAAACAACAGAAGATTAGAACGTCCTCACGTTTGAAAATAAGAGGAAGAAGTCATTCTGGGCAAAAGCTGTCAGCCTGTCCTAGATGTTGACCTTTTGGTTAAACAATGATTTCTAGTATTCTATTGCTGGGAGCAATTTACTATTGTGTATATACTGTATAAATCACAACGATCTCGCAAACACGTGCTGTACCTGTCTACCAGCAAAGTAAAGAAACCTCTTAACTAGTTACCCATTTCAAATTACTTTGACCAAGTTTTTAGAAAATATATTAACAGATAAGTTCAAATAAATGTAGTATTAAGACACTTTATAGAGTATTTAATGAAACCAATTTGATGTTGCAGATGGTGCATTTTTCCTATAACCTCTTTCAAGGTTAGAAAAAATTGATTTAGAATAAAGATAAAATCACCTATAGTTTGAAATAGAGAGATTATTGAATTTTTAGAACAGACACAATGATAATATTGACCCTTGCTGCACTTTTGTAGCTCTTTATATTTCTGATGAGCTCAGTTCTAGCTTTTTAATTTGACTTCATCCGCTTGTCTTGCAGGTCAGAAAAGAGCCAATTGGCTCATATTCTATATGTCTTCACTCAGTGGTGACAGATTGTGGATTCTGTGAAAGGCTAATCACACTATTCCGTGCGTGTTGATTTCAGTGGCAGGGGTGAACTGAGCATCAGGTACAGTCACAACTCGTAAGCAAGTTGAAGGTACCATTTATATGCTTGCTTATGGGTATCTGCTATGAAATTGTAGCAAAAGTTAGCACAGATGCTGTACAACCTTATCAAGATCACTAAAGAGTTCCAAGGTGAGCTTTTCTATTTAGCTCTGTATCTATTCCAAGAGTTTATTGATTGATGAATTTCAAATTATAAGATGTCTCGTTTTGTGTTCCAGTGATTGCTGATCCAAGTGGTTGTATATTCATAACCGATGCCAAGAAACCAGCAGGTGGTCACTCTGGCCACCTGTTGCGCATGCTGCCACCGCGCCTGACACAATCAGATTGATGCCTTGGTAAGGCAAGGGCGAGCAGAGTGTCTGCAGGGTCTTTGATGCTTCTAACCTTCCCAAGAGAAGCTACATCCTTTTGCTCTGATGATCCATGTTGACTGCTTGTGCTAGCGGTTGCAAATGAAATCTAGCTAATTTGGCTTGCTTAGCGAAGCCTTTTGACAGTGAACTCACTGTGTTCTTGGCTTCCCAAAAGCTAGGCAGAGACCATCTGCTAAACAGCGTGTGCATTCAACCTGAAGAATGTGAAATGAAACATGTTTTAATAAGCAACTCCACTGATGGTAGATTTCTGGTAGTTGCTAATGCGGTCATGGCCATGTGCTCAACTGCTGATGTGCATGCTTAACTCTGCATGCCTGCCAGCCTGAATGAATGTGCTTCTTCTTGTGTTAGTTTTACATTTTTTCTGGATATAACAGTCTTAGTTTTAAATTAAAGGCAAGGAGAAAACAACCTTTCAGGGAGCATCTTTTTCAACATCGGTTATCTTGTCTTGTACTAAACGAGAAAAATATTTGGTTCTTTTCCGGAGCCCATAAATACTAAGCACTCCATCTATCCCAAAAAAACTTGTTAATCTAAATTTTCCATAAATCAATCGATGTCAAGTTTGATTGAACATACTCCCATGTGAAAAAATATTGTAATGTTATATGTAATAAATATCATTAACCATAGAATATATTTTTATAATAAACATATTTAAAATACATATGTTAATACTATTTTCTATAAACCTAGAAAATTTGATTTAGTTCAAACCTATTTTATTTTTTTTTTTGAACGGAGAGGCTTCTACCGACCAAGTATACATGTACTCCATCTGTCCAAAAGAGTGCATTTCTAACTACGGTGCTAAGTAAAATACTATTCAGTCTGACAATTTTTTTTATAAATTGCACATATACTTATAATATAAAATAAATATTACTAAATTTATTATGAAATATATTTTCGTTGTATACCTACTTAGAATCATAATTGTTGATTTATTTTTACAAATTTAATTAAACTTGAAATAGTTATCTAGAAATGCACCCATTTTTTTTTGGTATGGGGTACAATCTATCCTCGTTTACAACTCGTCCGAATGTCTGATCTTCCGTTTCTCGCTTGTTTTGGTTTGGGCCGTCCGATATCGATCCAGCGGACTAGACTACGTACGTGTCGTCGGGTGCCTCAGCACGCAGAGCAATCCTGATCCCGTCCCGACCTCCGTTCCGTTCCGTTGCGGCCGCAAAAACCAGCCAAGTCGAGGACCGCATCGGCAAAGCCACTCGACACCGCCGCGCCGCCGTCTCCCGCCCGCCAGCTCGTCCAGCCTCCTCCCGTCTCCGAGGCCCGAGCCGTGCCGCCGTCTCCTTCCACCTCGCGCGTTTCCCTACGGCCCACGGGTGGCCCGCCCTTCCTCCGCCTGTGCGCTCCCCAGCCGCGGCGCCGTCCGCCGCCGCCGCCTGGTCCCGTCTGTCAAGTGCCGTTGTCTGCCACTTTCCCATCGTCGACTGCCGTCGCGGTACTCTGAGCAGGTACCGTAGGATCAAGTTGCCGAGTAAGAGCCCTCCCGAGTATGTGAGCTGGTTCTGTAATTTTGTCGTCTATATTTTAACCCCCGCCCCCAATGCTTCTAGGGGTACAGAAAAGAAAGAGAAGATGTTGTCCAAGAAGAATTACTACAAGGAGAAGATGATGCGGCGGAAGTAAGCACTCCACAGTACTTTTTTTTTCATTTGTTCCACTCATTTCTTGGTGCCATGTGATTGGGGATTGGAAAATAGAATAAAAGCTGGAAGAAGGAACCTAGTTAGGTCTTGTCCTTTGATACCCTCACTTGTAATTGTAGCTGTTTTTTCCCATACATGGAGCAGACTTTGGAATCAGACTTGAAGGAGTAGAACTTGTTCATGTTACATATTTCTGATACATATTTATGCACGGAATTTGTTTATTATATAAACCAAAAGTCCACAAGTCTGATGGTATCCTGAGTTCGTTACTTATTATAACATGATTGCATGAATGTCTGCATCTAAAGTAAGCAATCACTGCTGATTTCTTTCTCTCACCCTAACCCTTTAATCACCTACTAGTTGGGCTGCTATGCTACATGGATTTACCTCCCATCCTTTGTTGGTGATTCTTTGATTCCTGTAAGCTTCTGAAATAACACAGATTGCTGCCTATGTGTGTTTCTGCAAAGCACTATCCATTTTTATGGAAATTCTGTTTTGAACAAGTGCCAAGAACCACATTTATTAAATGGCTAAAGTGCTCAACTAAGGGAGTTCTGAAAATATGCAGGGCCGCCACGCTCAGGGATTGTGGTCTTGGGCAGAATCCATAACATTTTGCAGTTTTTTTAGGATATGTTTTAGAATGGTAATAATGTGAAAGTAGTATGTGACAATGACAAGTTAGATGCAAACTAATCGTTTCTGGTCTTCCCTTTCAGAGAGGAGAAAAAGGTAGAACCAGAGACACCCAGGTATCCTGATCGTGCTAAGGAGCGCCGTGAAGATCAAAACCCAGACTATGAACCCACAGAGCTTGGTTCATTTCATGCTGTGGCACCTCCTGGAACAGATTTGAGGTAACAGATCACATGGTTCAGACACTTCTATGTGTAATTATAGTTTTTCTGGAATTCTAATTTTTGCACTTTTTTTGTTACAGGCTGGCAGATGCACACAAGATTTCAATTGAGAAAAGCAAATATCTTGGAGGTTGGTTATGTGATGCTAATGCTATACTTCTTCTTGAAGGGAATGATTTCCCTTTTTATGGGGAATTGGCATGTCTATTTGTTACCTCTATTTTTTATGGTTTTTGATATGTATGAAGAAGTGGGCATACGTGTGCTTGAGCTATCTGAATCATGACTTCTGCAAAATGAGAATTGTTTAACATAGTCTTCTATGTTTGGTAAATGCCTATGTCCTCAATTTGAGGATGTCATTTTCTTGAATGAAATGTAAACATTTAGTTTTAAATATAACCTAATCAGCCAGTCATTGAATTCTTGTAATAAAAAAGAAAGTTAGAGAAGTGACATTGTATGGTGTGATCTGGCAACTCAGATGCTGCTTTTGCATTTTTTATCTTATGAATGTTTGATTGACATTCCATTTCCAATTCATGCTTTAAGGTGATTTGGAGCATACACATCTGGTCAAGGGCTTGGACTATGCTCTACTTCACAAAGTGCAGAGTGAAATTGAAAAGAAACCTGATGCAGAGGATGGGAAGTGTGGGGGTATAACCCCCAATACCAGCAGTGTTGTGCATGGGCCGAGTCGCTAGGGGAGGCCTAGCCCACAAGACTGCGCATGGGCCACGCCACTGGTGGAGGCCCAGCCTACGAGACGACGACGTGCAAGGCACGACACAGGTCGGCGTGCCTCGCAAGACTGCGTGAAGATCTTCGATGATCTAGGAAACCTGCTCGGATATGCTAGATCCCGTAATATCTGTAACTTCCTATCTTGTAAAACCGATCAGGATATAAACAACAGATCTGTAACGCTACCCCCGAGCTATATAAGGCGGGTAGGGACCCTCTCGTTTTCATCTGATCATACGCAATACAATCCACAAAGACACAGGACGTAGGGTATTACGTCAAGCTGACGGCCTGAACCTATCTAATCGCTGTCTCTCACGTTCTGTGTCACCATCTGTCTTCCTCACGTGCACCTCCACCGATTCATCTACTACCGTGGGCATACCCCTCGGTAGATTGCCGGGCGTATTTCGTCGACAGTGGCGCGCCAGGTAGGGGGTGTGCGTGCTGAATTCATGGCGTACTAGATGGTCACTTTCACGAGCTCTATGGCCTTTCCCAAGCCGGGCCAGATCTTCATGGTCGGATCCATGACCTAGGTCATCGGCCCCGATGGCAACAGGGAGATCGTGGAGACGGTGCAGGATCACCCTGTGCCAATCACGCCAACACTTGCAACGACATCTCCGATCCTGGCGCCCCGTCGCTGGGTTAGGAGATCCATCAGCAATGATGATCTGATTGGATCTATCGATCGGATCACAGACCGCTTAGCGGAATGTCAGCTCTTCTTGGATTCGGTCTCAGATCAATCTAGAGCGAGCGACGAGTTTCCCGTACTTCAAGATCACCAAGCCGCTGCAACCGAGCGACCTGCTCGGCCACATCGTTCAAGGCGGCCAGATTCTGATATGGTGATCACGGCTACTCTAGAGGGGCGCACGGTGCGGCGCCGACCACTTCTCGCTACCGGCCTACGTTTGGCCGACTACGAGGCCCCGATGGAGGACCTACCGAAGCCCTATCCCTTTGGTCTAGAGGGTGTGGGATCTACATACCAGAATGCCATCCACCACCTCTTTATCAACCACGTCGAGCGCGACCACGTCACCGACCTCTACATCATCGACCCGACTGACTCCGGTCAGCCCGCGCTCATGGTCCACATGGTGGCTGTTCGCCAGCTTTCGGATGAACCCTCTCTTCCAACCGAATCTCTCCATAACGTTCTAAACGAGAGACCCGATGATTATTCTAAGGGCTCAACCAAGACCGCATCGAGCTGCCCTGCTTTCCCTCCGGTTTTGGGGGCATGATCTTCCACGTCAGCCACGACAGCGTCACTAAGGACAACGAAACCGCTGAAGAGCGCGAAGCTCGTCTAGCGAAGAACGCCGATCGCCAACGTCGTCGAGACGCACAAGCAGCCCAAGTGGCCGACGAAGATGGTCGTGGCCCGCCCCGCCATTAAAGTAATCTAGAGGAGGCGTTTGACATAGTGGGCGACCAGCCAGTCTACCAGACTCCAAGCGCCAATCTAGCCATTGCTTTCAACGAGCTTGACAAACTCCCTCACACTCTAGAGGTCGAGAAGGTCCAAGCACATATCATAGCAGCGCAAGTCCAAGTCAACGAGTTTCGGAACGACGCCCCATCTTATTCCACCGCATCAGCTCGTAGCCGCCGCTCTCGCCACGCCGGAGGAGGCTAGCATCACGGCGCCAAGGGCTCCCAACCTTAGGCTGGAGGCCCCTACCTCCATGGAGGATCCAGAGGCAACTATGAAGCTCATTCATGCCACGACGGCCACCCACTGTGCCCCCTAGGGAGGTCGGGGCGGCAACCGCAACTAGGAGGTCAATCAACCCCCTTGCGACCTTCGTGACCACATCAACACCGGCGCAGATGTCCGCGGCCGCATCAAAAACAGCAGGTCCGCACGCTACAAAGCAGAGATGGAGCGTCACCGACAATTCGACGCCGAACATGAGGGATTTGCTACCCATCAAGCGCCACTTCCCGCCGGCGCATCAGGACTTCACCCCTTCACGGAAAGGCTCCGAGCTGTCCGATGGCCTGTGGGTTTTAAGGTTCTTGGTGTTAACACCTATGACGGGAAGGCCAACCCCGCTCAGTGGCTAACTCTATATGAGATCGTCGTAAGAGCCACAGGTGGAGACGAAGACGTCATGACGAACTATCTACCCATCATGCTTAACCAGTCTGTGAACAACTGGCTCCTCAGCCTACGGGAGAATTCCATTCGATCTTGGGATGACCTCAAGAAAGTTTTCACCGACAATTACATGGCTACGTGCGAGCAGCCCGACACCAAGTATGACATGGGGAAGCTTCATCAATCCTCCGGGGAGTCCCTGCGCAACTTCATCAGGCGCTTCTCAAAGACAAGAAATTCCGTTCCCAACATCACTGGCGCTGAGGCCATCGCCGCTTTCACAAAGGGGCTCCGGCACGAGCAACTCCGTGGCAAGCTATACCGCAAGCAACCCACAACCATCGGTGAACTGATACAAACAGCAAACGGATATGCCGACGCCGAAGAGGCCGAACGGGCTGTCCGCTCCGCTCACCACCAATGCCGCGACAATGACCGTCGTGAAGACAGGCGCTACGACGATCGCGACCGTCGCCATGATGACCAAGACCACCGCGACGACCGTGACTGCCGCCAAGATGACCGCGAGCCCTGGTGTGACGACCGCACGGATAGCTCGGGAGGCAGACAAGGCCGCCGTCGCCGGCCTAGTAACTCCATCAACACCGTCAACGCTCGTGCCAAGCGCACCTACGACGCTGATTTCGGCAAGCTGCTGGATGGCCCATGCCCTATCCACAAGGATGCCAAGCACACCATGTGAGAGTGCAGAGGCCTAAAAATAGTGCTTGGCGGCGAATCATCAAAGAATCCACGGTGCGACGATGATGAGACCGAGGACGGCCAAGGCAGAGAACGAGGCAAGAACAAGGGCCCAACATACCAGGACCCCACCAAGACTGTCACCACCATCTTTGGTGGGAGAGCTATCTCTGAAGACAAGCGGGAGCAGAAGCTTGTAGCTCGATGTGTCATGTCGGTCGCTACGTATGATGGCCCCGTCGCTGATCCCATGTGTAAGGAAAATGGACCCTTGGCCCATTTACTTTGGATTTTGGTGTTTGATGACCAACACAACCAAATTAGACTAATGAATTTGCAAGTGTTTGTTTTGTAGTCCAATAGGGTGCAAGATGTAACTTGGACGAAGGCGATGTGATGATCCGATGATCAACACCTCAAGCAAGACCTTAGAAGCACAAGAGAAGACCCAAGAGATCAAGCAAAGTCCAAGCATGAAGATTGGAACCAAGCCGTACGCAAGATCATGAATAAACGAGCTCACTGTGGTGACCGGACGCTGGACCGAACACTGGACAAGCGACCGGACGCTGCGACCGAATGCTGGGTGGAGACTCGGTAGACAGGCGACTGGACACGAGGACCGGACGCTGGCGGCAACCGATCGGACGTAGGAACACACGTCAACGATCGAGTACGAAGAAGGTTCCAGCGCATATCTCCGATCGAGTACAACGGCGGACGACGACGCCGCCAATGTCCGATCAGTATATTGTCGGCTCAACGGTCGGGACGATCGAACGCGTCCGGTCAGGATGATTCAGCGTCCGGTCAGTAGTAGTTTCACGGGAATTCGACCCCAACGGCTACTTTCTCAGTGGGGCTTATAAATACAACCCCCAACCGGCCATTTGAATTAAGTGGAGCTGAGGAAACATACCAAGGGTGTTGATACACCATTTTAGTGATCTCCACATGCATAGTGCTTAGTGTTTTATTAGGTGATTAGCATAAGTGCTTTGCGAAGTGCTTAGGTTGATTAGACCACCGCTTATGCGCTTGCTCTAGGTTTATGCCTAGTGTTTAGTGAGGTTTGCATACCTCTTGCCACCCCGTGCTTGCGAGCACAAGTGTTGTACATCGAAGGGGCTTGAAGTCTTGTGAGATCACACCAACCGCATTTGTGGTGTGGCCGCCACCGTGTACCGGAGGGAACAAGGCCCGCGGCGTTTCGGCCGGAAGCTTGATAGTGAAGACGGCGGGGAGCATCTGGGAGAGGCTTGCCGGAAGGCACGTTGGAGACCCACTTGCGCGTGGGGAAGGTCCGAGGCTATCCACGGAGTTACTCGACCGGGAGCTTGGCCCTTGTGAGGGATTCCTTGCGAGGGGCTCCAACAAGGACTAGGGGGAAGCTTGCGCGCTTCTCGATACCTCGATAAAAATACTGGAGTCATCGACAGGAGTTTGCATATCTCTACCTTGCTCTTTAGCTTCCGCATTTACATTGATTACTTTACTACGTTTGCGGTAGAGATAGCAACACACTAGCAAAACCGTAGTTGCACATCTAGATAGTTTATCTATTGCATAGGTTTTGTTAGGGTTAGAAAAAGAGGCCATAGTTTAGAGTTAGATTTTTTTAAGTTGCCTAATTCACCCCCCTCTTAGGCGTCACGGACCCTTCAATTGGTAT